TATTTTATAATTGCTAATTTGTGATTTCATCATTTGATTTTTGTATAGTAGGAATCACGTAGTACCAATCCTCAAAAAGAAACGAATGTGAAGATGTTTTTCCCTAGACGAATGTAGAAAAAAAAAAATGAAAAAAAAAAAGAAAACAAACAAAAAATATATTTTTTTTTCAATCGCTTATTATAATTCTCCGCAGGAAAGAGAAAACATAGCCTCTATCTACCTGTTAAATGCTAAAAAATCCTCTGGCCCAAACAATCATCGCTTACTAATTCATCACAAGATGCCATTACATTCGAGTTAGGTAACAGGCAAATGAAACTTAGAAACGGTCATTCTAATTCAGCTCTTTGAAAGAATTATGCCAATTCCAAGGAGGCCTCCTACCAGACGTACAAGGACATGTACAACTACATGATCAGTACCGAGAACGTTTTGACTAAGGACAACGACGAGGGTTTGAAGAAGGTCCTTAATGAAAATTATGCCTTCTTAATGGAATCCAGCTCGATCGAGTACATCATTCAAAGGGAATGCAACGTTACCAAAGTTGGTGGATTGTTGGATCAAAAGGGCTATGGAATTGCTATGAAAAAAAGTAATTTTATATAATATCAAATATTATTAATTTATCGAGATTTATTAAAATTCAATTTTTATTTTTTAGATTCTCCTTATCGTCATCAATTAAATACGGCGATTTTAAAATTACAAGAAAGTGGTAGAGTAACTGAACTCAAAAAAAAATGGTGGACCCAAAAACGCGGTGGTGGTAAATGCGAGGTAAGTTATACCTAAACGTAATTATTATTTTATTATACGTATATTAAAATGATATTTCAATTTTACAGGAAGGTGGTGCACCAAGTTCAGCAGAGGAATTGAATTTGTCTAACGTCGGTGGTGTTTTCTTGGTACTTTTCGTTGGTATTGGATTTTCTTTACTTTTCACGATATTCGAGCTCGTTTGGGATGTTGCTATGAAATCAATCAAAGATAATGTAAGTAAAAATTTTCCATCATTATATTCGTAGATATCCAAATTTGTTTCAATAATTCATAAAACCAATTTGATTTTGTATTTCAGTTATCATTTAAGGAAGAAATGATAGAGGAATTGAGATTCATAGCCAAGTGTACTACCGAGACTAAACCAGTTAGACATAGGAAAAGTTTATCGCAAAGAAGTGGAGAAGATAGTACAGAAGATTGCAGTCCACCTTATGGATTCGTACCAACTGTAATCACAACATCACCGGACGATGATAATTGAAAAAAATCTTTGATTATTATAATAACATCTTTAAATCTATCATTAGTTAGGAACGTTGACAGAAACATTCATTACCATTCGTTAGATCAACTGTTTAAGTAAACAGACCATTCACTCGGTCTAAATTCTAACTGAACTTACCCGAAATAGACAAGGATGAAAATAGCATGAGGATAAACCTAATTCTTTGATTAGCAATCGTATAAATTTCAACTTGGAATTAAATCTACAATTTCGTTCTACTTTCAATTATTGTTGATGCATCTTTTTGTGTGGTATACTATTTATATATATGTGAGCTTCTAAAAAGTATTGAATATCAAAGATAAGACTCATAATCGCGAGAAATCATGTTTTCTGGCATGATCATGTCCATACGATATTTCCTTTTTCCTGACCTAGACAAGACTCCCTCTAACCGTTGGTCTATGAGAAAATAGTTTGGCAGCAGCCATACGATAGTACGGATGCTGCTCAGTCGATGAAGATTCGTTTTAAGTGCCGTTTATAAATTTGACTCTTCTCTTGATAATTCATTAAAAAATCGTATCGTGCATTAATGAGATTAGATTTATTAATGGATTTTATTTATCCTTAAAAAAAAAAAGGTTTGTTGAAGATTTTCCATTAATAATATCATGAAATTAATCAAATGATTTAAACGTATGAAAATTCTGAGAATATTTAATAATAACGATTATTAATTGTATTTAATGCTTTATTAACATTAAATTAAGATTTTTGTAGAAATAATATAGAGTAGATAATATTTGTTAAATTTTGATAAAAATTAAGATAAAATTAATCCTAAAGATACATTTTTACAATCACCGAAACTATGTCACGAGCTGTGCTCATAGTTATACCTCGCTGGTGCGGCTAAAGTTTCTAATTATATCGTATGTACCTAAGTTCGTGTGCCAATGCATTATATAGTTTGAAAACGTGCAGTGTTTATTAGCAAAAAATAAAATAATAAAATAATAAAAAAAGAAAAGAAAATATATATAATCTAGAAATCAAATAAAAAATGAAATGAAATCTAAATTTGTTTCTAATTATTATATACATTGATTGCATTATGTGATGGGTCAATAAAAAACAAATAAAAAGAAAAAAATGATTTTATCACGTTCACAGAATTATTAAAAAAATGCTTCTCATATGCGTCATCCTGTTTTTATTACCTTGCATTCAAGGATTTCCGAGAAGAGTTCCAATAGGTAAGTACAAAAATTAAAAAAAAAAAAAAATAAGTAGAAAATAAATGAGATTCCATTAAAAAAAATAAATATAACATATTTTTTAAATAACTATAGGAGTTCTTTTCGATGGGGATGAAATGATTGAAAGAGCGTTCCATTTATCGATCAAAAATGTTAACAGAAATGCTAGAATATCAAACGATATTAAAGCTTTAACATTAAGATCGGAACAAATTGACACCGATACATTCGATGCAGCAGAGAAAAGTGAGCCTAACAAACATATTTCTAATCCGATAAGATTCTGTTATCCTATTTAAAATATCATTTCGTATTACAAACAAAAGTTAGACAACATAAAAATATTTCTAATCACAAATTATACAGATAATGTGTTTCTTTTAATTTCGATTCGATAAACCAAATAATAATTTTGTACGTAGCGTGCAAACTTTTGGAAATGGGCGTAGCCGGTTTGTTCGGACCGAAAGACAAATCTGCATCGTATTTTGTTCAAAGTATGTGCGATGCCATGGATTTGCCATACATTACAACTAGATGGGATCCTGAACAAACTCGAGGAAATGCAATTAATTTATATCCTCATCCCGAAGTTCTCTCAATGGTAAAAAAAGAAACACCACCCCTTCTTTCCATATAATTTCCACTAACACGTTCGATTTAAATATAATTTTTATCGCGTTTAGGTTTATTACAATATAATAAAAGATTTCAATTGGAAAGAATATGTAATTTTGTATGACAATACAGAAAGTTTGTTACGTTTGCAACGTGTATTGGAACTACAAGAAATAGTTGGTTACGAGATTAGAATTTATCATCTCGGTAATGGTCCAAATTACAGGTAACAAAAAAAAACAAGATCATTATTAATCAAATTTTTTAAATTAAATTCAATAGAAATTAATAAAACTTTGATTATAAACTCAGAGATATTTTACGAACCGTCAAAATGTCGGGTGTCATCAACATAGTGATCGATTGTTCGTACGAAACTTTACCTGTGGTTCTCGAACAAGCCCAGCAAGTTGGTTTAATGTTACAAAAGTATAACATAATCGTAACAAATCTGGACTTGCAAACATTAGATCTGGAACCTTATCAATACTCAGGTGTAAACGTGACGGGTGTAAGAATGATAAATCCAGAAGACCCTTATCTCTTGGATATTTTTAATACTCCTTATCTCGATTGGAATTTAACAAATCCTATGCAATTAACAGTCGATGCAGCATTGGCCTTCGATGCTGTGCAAATTTTTGCTAGAGGTATGGCACTGTTGGAGGACAGTGTTAATGGTAATTTTAAAAAATTAGCTTGCAACGAATCGGATAATTGGGAATTTGGTAATAGTTTGAGCAATTTTATTCGTGCCGTAAGTTCTATTTTCTTATGTTTTTATTTGTTGTTATTTTAGAGATATCATACGTTTTAGAAATGTACAAAATTTTTAATCATTTATTTATTTACTTAGGAAAATATGCATGGATTAAGTGGACCAGTGAAATTCGACACATCTGGATATCGAAGTGATTTTAAATTAGAAATCGTCAGTCTTAACATAGAAGGATTAAATAAAGTTGGTGATTGGTATAGTACGAATAGTATTCGATGGGTACAAAAATCTGGCCTACCAGCTAATGAGATTAAAGTATTGCAAGACAAACATTTCATCGTTTTGATTTCTCTGGTAAAATTCTCTTAAAAACAAATATATTAAAGATTGGAATTATACTTTGCTGAGTTGAAAAGTTTTTCTTTCGATCAAACACATTTTTACTTAAAAAAACAATGAAAACTTTATGTTAAGACTTAAAACTTTTTAACTAACTCACGTATTAGTAATAAATAAAAATGTTTTTATTTTTGGGGAATTTTTTTTTTAGACATATCCATATGGAATGTACAAAGAATCACCTGATTTGAGAACAGGTAATGATCGTTACGAAGGTTTCGCTGTTGACATCATAGACGAAATGAGTAAACAGTTAGGATTTAATTATACTTTTGAAGTACAAGAAGATAACGTTTATGGTTCTTTGCAAAAAACTACTGGAGAATGGAATGGGATGATTAGAAAAATTAGAGACGGTGTAAGTTTAATAATCAGGTGGATTTTTTGTTTCAATAATTTGTACTTTTTTCAAAAAGAAAAAAAAAATATTATTAATATATCGGTATAGTGTGTATAGTCAGTGCTGCTATCTGAAACACTATCGGTAAGGAAGCAATCTTACTCCTGACACGTTCTTCCAAGCATCTTACTTTTAGTCGGTACAGAGACTTACTATAATAATTCATTAACATTATTATACGAATATTAATAAATAATTAAATAATTTGTTTATTGCAGAAAGCAGATCTTGCTATTACAGATTTAACGATCACTTCTGAACGAGAGAGTGCGGTAGATTTTACAACACCCTTTATGAATTTAGGTAGAATTAATCTAATTTTTTTTAATAAACAATATTAATTGAAATAAAAAGAAATTAATAAATATATTATATTATTATTATTTTTAGGTATAAGTGTACTCTACAGACAACCGACACAGGCACCACCAAGTTGGACTTCATTCCTTTTACCATTCTCTTATGAAGTATGGGGTTGCATTTTTGGAGCATGGATTGTCGTGAGTCTTGTATTGTATATCAATGGAAGAATGAGTGCAGCCGAATGGACCAATCCGTATCCTTGTATCACCGAGCCAGAAGAATTAGAAACACCTTACACTATGGTTGACACTCCATTTTTCACTATTGCAACTTTACTCAACGGTGCATCTGATTTTGCTCCTGGGTGAGTTAATTTATTATAAATTAAATTTTATACTTCTAGATAATAATAATTATTATTAAAACAAAGTAATAACATAAATTGCAAAATTTAAACCGAAAATTCTGGCGCGTAGAATTTTTATTTACAAAAAAATTATGATCATTCGATTATAGAAGTTATGGTGTTGAATAAGAAAATTACTTTCTTATCGTTTCGAATTTATCGTGATGATAAATAAAATGTGAAAAGTAACTCATTTATCATTCTCGAAAGGAGAACAAAAGATAGAGCAACGTTTTCTACTCTAGCATACTTACATATATATATACATAATACTATACATCTTAACTTCTCGATTAATGGTTACCTGCAAGTGACAGAAGCTTTTCGTTTAAAAGAAACAGAGAACGTTCTTTAACCCATTTTTGGGTATTCTGAAAGGAACCAAGTGAAAAGTACTAATAATTCTTCGATAATGTCACGGATCGATACGATAAATTTTGAAAATTTCAACCTAACTTAACGTTTGATTCTTATTATTCATATATAATGTGTGTATACATATATGCGTGTATCTTTTGAGAAAGAAAATTAATTTTTTGTTTATTTTTCATTTTGTCAAAACTAATCGAACAAAAATATCGAAAGTAATTTAAAACGGTCTTTTCAGACTCTTCCACTTAGCTACAGCACTTTACCCGAGCAAATATTTTTGTGACCCTGAATTTTATCGTCTCTTTCACTATAATATACTCACGGTACATGTTATACGTGTAGAATTACCAAACTGGTTTTGAATTAATTTTCGTTCGTTTCGCGTCAAAAATTTTTGGAATTATTTAAAAATTTCAATGACCCCGTTTGGGGTCACCACAAACCACACTTTGAGAACACTTGGTTTAAAGAATGGACGTGTCTAGAGATGATATCTTCATTCGTATAAGCAAACAGCAGGTATTCGTTCGAGTATGATCGATTATTAATCTTTCGATTTTACTTTTTTTTTTTTCTTAGAGGTATTTCAACGAGAGCAATAGGTACAACATGGTGGTGTTTTAATCTAATAATAAACGCAACTTACACTGCTAATCTAGCGGCAGCTTTATCTACCAGTCCAACAGTGTGGCCCTTTACGAAGGCAGACGAGTTGCCCTATCAAAAAGAAATCAAATACGGGGCGAAGAGAGACGGGTCTACAATCTCGTTCTTCAAGGTAAGAACATTTTTTCACCAACGTACAGTATTAAATGAAAAAATATGAGTAACATGATCGATCGATCAATTACGAATTAATCGTTATAATACATAATCCAAAGAAAAATTCATTTCTTTATCTTTAATTATAAATCTGATTTATGTGCTGAAAGTATCAGTAATTTAAAAAAAAATTTATTTTTTACTGCAAATGATATTCATTTGATAATACTGTATGATAATTAATTATGTAATTATTACATGAGTGACTCAGTTTTTTTCTTTTAATTTAATTAAAAAGTTTTATATCAGATAATGAGAAATTTATTTTATAAATTGAAATTCATTTGAAACAGTTTTTTAAGAAATCAATGTTCTTCAAATACAAATGTATAATGCATGTATGTATTTAAATCAAATATCAATTAATCATAATTTGAAATCTACCATATCAAGACGGCAACTTACGAGCCCTACAAACTTATGTACGATTACATGATGGAACACGCAAGCGAGGTTTTAACGGATAACAATGAGGAAGGTCTGAAAAAAGTGCAGCAAGAGAATTATGCATTCTTCATGGAATCTACGTCAATAGAATATTTTACACAAAGAAATTGCAACGTCACCAAAGTTGGTGGTTTGTTGGATCAAAAGGGTTATGGGATTGCCATGAAAAAAGGTATACATTTAAAGTTAATTATCAATTTTTTAACACAACGCGTATATAAATACAAACTGTTTCGAGCATATATATATATATAATTTAAAAAAAAAAATACTTATTATCTTCTGTACATGTTCATCTGTAATATATAAAATATACTTTTTTTGAAAATGAAGCTGTTTGAAACAGTCTGTAGGCGTATTATTCAAAACTTTTTATATTGAAAGAAAAAAAAAATAAATAAATGAAAAAGAAAAGTAAGAAAGAAAGAAAGAAAGACGATGTAAGGTAAAAGAAATATATGCTGTCCTTGCAGATATATATTATCGGAACCAGCTAAGCGGTGCGATACTGAAACTGAAGGAGTCTGGCATAATAACCGAACTCCAAGATAAATGGTGGAGGCAAAAAAGGGGTGGGGATAAATGTAGCGTGAGTACATCGATACAAATCTTGATATAATTCGATCGTTAATGGGCGTCATACGATTTTCTCATTCTCTACCATGTGCTTCTGATTAATACTACCTGTTGATAATTATATATTATACTATCTTATACGATTTTATTTAAAGAATCATCTCGAGTTACTAAAGTTTTCTTATTTTCATTTTTAATATTCGTTCTAATCGTTAATATCGCACGTTTTTAGGAAAAACCACCTGCAATAGCCAATCCGTTGAATTATGAAGACGTCAGTGGTGTGTTTATTGCTCTCGGAAGTGGTCTTGCTGTATCCTGGATTGGTACACTTTGGTCTTTTATCTGGAACATACGGAATGTTTCTGTTACCGAAAATGTAAGTTTTAATCATTTAATGTGCATTAGGTTTCATTATAATATTTCTTATAATTTTCCTATTTTTCATAAAACAAAAAGTCATAAAACGAAAAGAATAGTAAAAAAAAATTCTTGTGTATTTTCACATAATTATTATTGACAGGTTCCTTTCAAGGAGGAATTCATGAGCGAATTGAAATTTCTATTAAAATGTGGTGGGACAAAAATAGTTACGAGAAGAAAAAAATCTTCGACCACGTCAACGGAAGATGATACGAAAAAACCAAGTAGTTAAATTTGATGGAATAAAAGAAACAAAAAAGAAATCTCTTCGATTAGAAAGAAATCGATTAAGAATTTTCAATCAACCCCTGGGTGTGAATTAGGGTTTTTACGATAGGAAGGATTTAATAACGGATGAGGAGGAGGAGGAGGAGAAAGGAAGAAAAAAAATCACTTTTGGAATAAGAAATGATTGTAATGAGTTAGATGGAAGGTATTATTATTATAATAATATTCAACGTTATTCACGATAGGCCTAATATCGAAATTAGAGAAGAGTGTTTTTGTCTGTTTTTTGTTTTTTATTTAAAATATTTTTAAAAGCTTATAGAGAATAGGCATAGGACCACGCGACTAATGGTGGAGGGGGGAAGGATCTCTCTTTCTCGAGATCCATATAGACCAACCGTGGTCTATCGCAAAAGAATATAACGAAATTAGTGATAATAATGGTGAGCGGCGCTTTAATAAGCATTAGGTGTAACAACCTTCTGTCGTAAAAGGGCCGCCGCCAAAGGGTATCTCTCTCGGTGTAACGAAATTGCTTGCTCGTAAATATATGTTCGATGGACAGGCGAAACACACGATGTGCGTGCGCGAGCGCGCACATTGACCTTAATGAAGCTACTTTTCTGGCATAGAAAAAAGAAGAGAGAATATAAGAAGATAAAAATACAACGAGAAAAGGAAAGAAAAAAAAATAAGAAAGAAAGGAAGGATTAGAAGATCGGCGTGGTCCTTCAAAAAACGAGAATGTGATCGTTCAAAGATCATTTATGTAAATTTAAATGATCTTCATTATTATTATTCTCTTTTTCTTTTGAGATGATTACGAATTAGAATAATTTATTCATTTCTTATGTGAAGTAATACGCTTAGGCAAATATTTCTTCTTTTTTTTTTTCATTTAAAGTATTACTGTTATTTTATTTATTATTATTATTTTTTTTTGTTTTTAATGGAGTTACTTTTATAGAAATATTGAATGAATAGAATTAGTGTTGTGATGTAATTTGAAATATACATTAATACTCGAAAAAATATTTATTATTACCGTAATAATGTTAACTCTGAAATTTGCTTTGGTTTTATATAAGGTATTGTTTTTTCTAATCAATTTTTTAAAAGATACGGTCAGAATGGATGATAAGCTAAATAAGAATTTAAAATAATAATATAAATGATTTGGATCATTTATGGATTTTTCACGTATAAAAATAAACTCATTAATTTGTTCATGTCACGTTTAGGTTGGATTTAAAATCAAAATAAAAGATAGAGAGAGAGAGAAAGGAAAAAAGTCGAAAATTAACGAAGAAAAAAATATAAATAGACAAAAAAGTCATAGCGGAAAATTGTAGGACGAGTAGTAATAGTCGTAAATGAGGGATTTTAACGAAGCCAGGCCACCGGTTCACTTTCTACAAGCGATAACTAACTCGACGCGTTCGTGGGAAATAAAAATGAAGGAAAAGGGTTTCGTTAAATTCCCGTCTTTACGATCTTAAGCCGTCACGCGAAATTAAAAAGTCATTCTCGTCTTGTTTAAAAAATAAACAAAAGTAAGCAATGCGTCTTTATCAGTCGAGTTCTTCGATTTTTGTTAATGTTTGACGTCGTTACGACGTGACGTTGCCGTAAAACGATGCGACGTCATGCAAAATACTCGAAGAAAAGTGAAAGAAGGAGAAGAAGAAGAAGAAGAAGATAAAATCACACATAAGAAAAAGGATAAAATTTCGAAAGATATATCGCGTGTTTTCTTACGATACATGCGTGCTCTCTTTTTTATTATTTATTTATTTATTACCAACGAGATTCCTTGCGATCGAGTGCTTTACATTTTGTAGAAAATATTTGCAATAGCGTATAAACGTGTTCCACCTTCTTACTTCTACTTCTTATTTTTATTTTTGTTTTCTGATTCTTCTATTCCATCTTCTAACAAATAATCAAATCGAACGTTACACCTTACATTACACTTTAAGATAGCACTCTTACCCGCATCTTCGAAGGATCGTAAAATTTTACAGTATGACTTAAAACATGTGTGTGTGTATGTGTGGATGTACGCATATGCGTGTAACGCTTTCAACGTGTATCGATTCTTTATAATAAAACACTTATCGAAGTAGAAAATATTTTCTATCATTTGTTATATAATATAATGAAATGATACTAAATAATTAAATCATAGGTAAAACATTTTATTTTAATTATTTTATTTTAATGTCATCATTTTAAATATGTTAGCTTACAGAAAAAAAGAAATTAAAAAGAAAATATTCTAAGAATAAAAATATCAATTTAACGTTCTAACAAATAAGTTATTTCGATAGATGAAATTTATACGATCCCATAGATTTTGTTAAATGTTCAAGGCGGTTCTTCTCATTGTCAGTCGAACAACATCGTGGGTGGGAAACACATACTTTCTCGAGGTAGTATTAAAAGACCATTAAACGAGGGGACATGACGTATGGCTTTGTGCGTATGCGAGTTCTACGGTGATTCTTGTCTCTGAAGCTACTTTACTTAAGAAAGAGACAGAAAAAGATCAAGTAAAAAGAAACGAATTCTCTCTCATGTAGCTGCTACTTAGCTACGCTTTAGCTTATCTTTACGTAATCGCACCTATAAATGATTGATAAAATTATTCGAAATCATGATTATGTATATTATATTCCATTTATATAAAAAAGAACATAACACAATCATTTATTCGTATAGAATTAGATGTACAAAACATAAACAAGTTGTTATCTCGAGTAGAATAAAAAAATATTATTGATGAACAAACATAATTACGTATTTTCTTGAACAAAATTTTTGTTAGGTAAATAGCAAAGAAAAAAGGAAAAAATTAGATTAAAAACAACCCTAAAAAAGGGTAATTTAAAAAGTAGCGTCTTATATATTATTGTTTTAAGAAGAAACTTTTTTCATTTTTTTTTCTTTTTTTGAAAAACGAAAGAAAATCAAAACTCACAGTTGTGAAATTACAAGAGCGTACTCGGCCACGTTAAATTATTTCCAAGCGAAGACATTAACATTGTTGCAACAGGTACTATTTCATCGGACGCGTTCGTTCGAGCTACGATTTATAGTCCCTTGCCCGTTAGAAGTCGGAGCTCGAGCGGTATAGGCTCGAAGATTTAAGACCGGTACACTCGTCGTCGTTCTCAGTGTTGTGCATCGTCGCGACCAAAGTCACAATGAATTTCTAGCAGACGAGAGAGAAAGAGAGCGATAGAAAGAAAGAGAGAGAGAGAAAAGATGCTCCCGAAGTACCCCGTGTATCATCGTTAAGGGCGATGACAAGGCCGAGAAGGATGTAAAATTAGCACGAGCTTTGCTTTACTTAAATCGATTCAACCAAGGTAAGAAAAAAAAAAAAAGAAACAATATTCGCGATAATTTATATCGCTATTCTCTCATAATTTTTTTCCTCATTTTTACAATAAATTTAAACCAGTCAAAAAATATTCAGACTTCCGGCTTCAAGAAATTTAATATATGAAGAGAATAAGATCTATAATATGTAAATTTTATATATATATATACATTTTATTTTTATTTCTATTTTATATAAGAGTTCATTAATTAGCAGGTATATAAATGTAATTGGAATGAGCGCGAGTATTAATGTAAAATAAAATCCTTCAATTACCTATCATATAATAGTTTGAGAAACATTTAAATTGCAATATTGGAAGAAATAAAAAGTAGTTTATAAGGTAGTTTAATTAAGATTCCTTTGGTAAAGTATTTAACGATATAAATCAATAGAATATAGTGAATCATTATACCATTCTATATAATTTGTCATAAATAGAGAGAGAACTCTTTGAAAGGCTTTGGAGAAAGGAAGGAAAACTTGATTCGGTAATCTTAAAGATTCTACTTCGTGAGTTCGAAGATGCGGGTAATCACTATAAAAAAAAAAATAAAAAGCAATAATAAAATAAAATAAAATAAAATGAAAAAAAAAAAAGATCAATGAAAGAGATTGAAGAAGGTAGGTTCGTGTAGTCCTTAAAAGACAGGTAACAAAGTAGTATATCATGAATATGTTAACTCGACAGTAGTTTCTAGCGTGCTCGTGTGTGGTGTCTAAGAATTATCATCGAGAGAAAAAAAGAGATTGGAAAATCGATTAAGAAATTACAGAGTGCTCGATCTTTCTGAACGACTTTTAAATCTCAACGTAAGTAAAGTTTTTTTTAAAGTAGTATACGATTCAAGTTTGAAGGACAGCTACGAAAGCGAAGATAAAACATAGAACGAATGAAGAAAATTGCATTTCCAGAGATTGGAGGTCGTCGGTTGTGTTCGTACGGTTAACTCGTTAAACTTATGAGATTACAAGGAATGAGATTTTCTGGGTTAGGGATTGATAAATACGATGCTAATAGCTATTATCGTTTCACGAGCCTATCTCGAAGAAGGTGGCTATTCAAGGTTGGTATGCGAGAAACCAGCATCCCTTCTTTCAAGATGTGCTTCACAAACGTCATAAAATAACTGAAGGAAAGATAACAGCCGGTAGGTACAAAGAAGAATCTTCTTCATCTTCCTCTTATTTTTCTTTTTCTTTTAAAGAGGATTGAAAGAAATAAAGATAAAGAAAAGAAAAAAAATGAGAGAGGAAGAGAGAGAGAGAGAGAGAGAGAGAAAGTATGTTTGTGAATTACGTGAACACAGCAGCCACCTGTCTTCTACCTAAGAAAGATTTGAAACTCTAAAACGATATTGCGAGCTCTTGAAGTTGCAAGCTCGTTCTCTCTTTCTCTCTCTCTCTCTCTCTCTCTCTCTCTCTCTCTCTCTCTTTCGACGTCTAGCTCTAACTTTACGATCGTTCTTATTCGAGAAAGTAACTACGAAGGAGTTTATGACTCTTTGGTAGTATTCTCCGAGAGGATGCCAATCGATGATCATGATCATCGTTCATTATCGATTCTATTAGCTTGAACAGTATAGTAGTTAATGGTCTAGACGAGTGAAGAATAAAAAGAATCAAATAATAAAAAACATCATTTCTATAACTTCCGTGTACAATTTAACCATGGTTTTTATTTACCGATCAATACTTTATTCGTTTTCTTTGTTTATCATTTTCATTTTATTTATTTGTTTTTCTTTTCGTAGAATTCTTTCACGGTACCGAAAGTATGGTAAGAAAATCTTTTCTCGAAGAATTTCTACGAAAAGTAAATAGGTGTATATATATACAGGTTGAAGAGGGAACGTAGATTTCAAAGAGTGACGTGTCAACGCGTCTCGCGAGAGCAAAGCGACAGATCCTGAAAGCTAAAGGAAGATTAAGTGCCGACTACGAACGGACAATGCGACGTGTACGTCGAGAAGCCGTGGAGTAACGCGTTCGAGGACACCTTGTCACGAAAACCTTCTCGTCTCTGTCTTACCCCTTTCGAGGTCGAATAAATCGATCCCTAGGAAAGAAGTAACTGTCCTTTTCTTTGCCATCCTCCTTCTCTCTATCTTCTTTTTTTTACTCTTTAAAATAGATATTTTATTTCCGTTTACTTGATCGATCAAATAAAATACCTACTCCCCGATTTCGAGTTGTAAGAAGTTCATCCCTTAAAAACGAATTCATTCCTGGAAGATAATAAATAAGAACTACTCTTAAGAGGGTTTATTTATTTGATCAATCTAATTTTTTTTTGTTAACATTTTGCCTCAGTATTTTGTCAAATAGCAATTTGATTTATCATAAATAATAATATTGTTCAGTATTTAAAATGCTATCTAGAACGAAAGAAGGAAAACCAAAAATTTCAAAAAAAAAAAAAAACTAAAGTATTGGATTGTTCGGAAAGTATTTTGTACTTTTTACACAAAAATTTCAATCCAATTTAATAAATTGTATTAACCATACATGTAATTATTGCATATTATCGAGTGCGTTATAAATTTATGGCTAAGTATCGTTTCATTTATATAAATATTTCTATTAAGTCATAATATTAGATAAAATGATACAAATCAATTGAAAATACACTTTGTTGTAAATCTTCTCGAGTAAATCTTACCTAACGAATTTATCGATCTGATACGAATACAGAAATCTATTCTTATCAATGAATACATGTATTAGCGCGCGTGTACATGTATTCATTAATAACGTATAACGAATCTATTAGGTATAGGTTTAGCTTTGAAAAAAAAAAATAAAATAAAATAAAAGAAATGAATCATCTTTTAAATGGGATCTGAGAACGTTAACGATTATAAATAGCAGAAGGTAGAAGAATTCGTATAAGGTAAGAGTGTTTTTCGATAAGAGAGTCCGTGTTCGATAATATTATCATACATTTAAAGTGCATTCAACGGTGAAGATATCCCTGATCATGAGTAGAACTCATGACAGGAGCTATTACTATAGTATTACTTGTACCACGACTTTCACCATCGTCTTCGTTGTCGTCGTCTTCGTCTTCGTATTCCTCTTCGTCTTCGTCTTCGTCTTCGTCTTTGTTCAGTCATTTTCGTGTGTACGAGAGAAACCGATACGAAACACGGCTACTACTTTACTTCTTGGCTGTACTTCCTCTGTGTGTACTCCTGTGAGATTAATTTAAAGAGCTCGTTTCTCGGACGCAGACACGAGAAGAGAGGTAAAATTTAATTACGCTTGGTATAAAGTCGAACGAGATATTGTGGGAATATACCGACGAGAAACGAGAGAAACCTTTATACACCTTTATAATACCAATACATTTAATCGCAATAGATATATATATACATATATATACACACACAAGACCCCAATGTTATTTGATTTTCGAGAAAAAGGGAAACCATACTTTCGATTTGATTATTATGTCTATCACTTAATATCATAATATATATATGATAATAATGTCGTTAGCTAATTTCACTTCAGTCGCGTGTGGGTTCCATGAGCTTTTATTTCTTTTTTTTAAGAAGTATGTTTTCTAATTAGATAATTGGATAATTTACGGTAATTTATTTAACATAAATTTGTACTAAATATCTATTCGGATATATTGGAAGGTAAATATATTATTATCGAGATAAATGGTACTTGAAAATTAACGATGCATCCATGATTTTTATTTTTATACATTTCTCTTTTTTTTCTTTTTTAATATCAATCCGTA